GGAGGCACTGGGCAGCACAGACCACAGCCTGAGCTTGACTTAAGCCTCCCGTCTTTCCTACATTAACCCCAAATGGGTTTCAGGGTTAGACATAAAACTAAACAAAGTAACAGGAGAGGGCCCAAGGTGGGATTCAGTGGCAGACCACTAACCTAGCACACATAAGGCCTGGTTCCATCCCTAGTACAACAAAGACGGGGCAGGGGAGTAGTAACATTAGGATTAAAAACTAGGCAAAGAGTTCTTAGATCCCAAAATCATAACCCAAAGAGAAGAAAAAACTTATAAAACAGACTTCATCAAAATTAAAAATGTGGGCTAGGGATTTAGGTCAGTGTTGCAGTGCTTGCCTGGCAAGCAAAAGGTCCTGAGTTTGATTACTGGTACAAAAAAAAAAAAAAAAAAATTAAAAATGCTAGCTGTGCATGGCGGTACACGCCAGCAATCCCAGCACCTGGGAGGCAAGCCCTGGACTACATAGTGAGGTCAAGGCTGGTCTGTATTACACAACGAGACCCTGTCTCAAAAAAATAAAAAAAAAAAGCTCTGTAGAACACTTTCTTGGCATGCACAAGCTCTGGGTTCCATCGCAAGCGCAATGAAAATGAAAATTTGGAAATTTTTGTTATTGTTTTTTGAAACAGATATTCACAACATTCCAGGCTGACCTTGATATCACAATCTTCCTGCCTCAGCTTCCCAGAATGCTGAGCTTGTAAGTGTGCACTACCACATCTAGCTAAAGAATACATTTCAAATTCTGGCTCTATAAAAGATCCTGGAAAACAAAAAGAACCTTCAAAACTCAACAGTACAAAACAAACAAGAACAAGAACAAGAAGAACAATCCAATTAGAAGCAGCCAGACTCCTGCACAGATATGTCCCCAAACAGACAGATGGCAAGCAAATGCACAAAATGTTGAAAACCATTAACCTCTAGTGATCTAAAAAGAAAAACAATGAGATACACCACACACCGATCACAAGTACTGTAATTTAAAAAAGTGACAATGGGGGGCTGGGGATTTAGCTCAGCGGCATAAGCGCCTGCTTTGCAAGCAGGCAGCCATGAGTTCGATCCACAGTATCAGGAAAAACAAAACACACACACACACACACACACACACACACACACACACACACACAAAAAAAAAAATCCAAAGAACAAAAACAAGAAGCATGTTACCAATCATAAATATAAACAATTTTTTATCCTGCCAATTAAAACTTGGGGAGGAGAGTCTGGGAGTGTGTCTCAGTGTTAGGGCGCCTGACTAGAGCATGTGTGAGGATCCTGGTTCTGTCCCCTGCACCACAGAAAAGTGGGTGGAAACATCACATGGAGAAATCACCAAACGTGGGTCCCTTGATGCTTCACGCCATCAGGTTTGCGTCATTTATCAAGCAAAGTACCTTTGGGTGGAAAGGGACTCTGTGGTCAGACTCAGATCATGCCGACCACCTAGTAATGAAGACTAGATGGTCTGTGGTGGCTCTCATGACACTTACCACAAGCTTGATAGCCTAAAGCAACAGTGCCCCTTCAGTTCTATAGGTCAGGACTCTGGCAAGGATCTTCCTGAGCTAAACACAGGCTATGGCCAGGCTGCCTTCCTTCCTGCAGGGTCCAGTACAAATTCCACTTCCTCCTGCCTCCAGTTTCTGGAAGGACTTGTGAATTGTGTCCACTTTCTTCTACTTCAAAGCTGGCAGTAACAGGCAAGGTCCTCTCCCACCCCACTACCATAACTCTGAGCTCTTAGCCGCCCTTTGCCACTCTGAAGGACTCTTTAGATACACTGTGTCTGCTCAGAAAATCTAAAATGATCTCTGTTGAAAATTTTGTTTTCAGCAGTATACATCTATAATTCAGCAGTATACATCTATAATTCAGTAGTATACATCTATAATTCTAGCTGAGGCAGGAGAATTGCTACCAGGTGAAGGTCAGCCTGGGCTAGCTACATAGAAGTTCAAGGCCAGCCTGACCTACAAAGCAAGACCCTGTCTCAAAAAGCAAACAAACAAAAAAGGTATTTTTTTCTTTATAGTAAAACACACACAAAACTTCCCTTCTGAAACATCTTCAGGTGCACAGGTGGGGGTCATTAGGTACACTCACACTGCTGTCCAGCTGTCCCCCCGTCCACCTCCAGAATGTCCTCATCTCCACACACTGAAGCTCTGCCCCCTTTAACCACTGATTCCTCAGCGCCCTCTTCCTGCTTCCATCATCAACCTAATTCTCCCGTGCCAGACAGGACATTCTCACAAACTGCAAGGACGATGATGTAGGCTTCTTTGGGAAGCCACTGTTCTGCGTGGAAGAGCAATCTGGGCCTATTGACTCTCACAGCGCACCTGTGAGGTGGGATTTCCTTATTTACTAGCAGGAGGTTTCATTAACAGAGACAATATTAACGACATTAAATCTAGATGGCTTGTGTTTACAGGAAATCTTACAGAGCAGAAATGACAACTGAGCTGTCTGTCTCATGTGATTTTTAAATGTTCATTGAATAAGCACTATTGTAACAATGATAATGTTGGGGGAAAAACAATCTCGCCACTCAGCCTGTGTTTACTGTATTTGATCGACTATGTTCCTTACACAGCGTCACCTTCACAATCATAATCAAAAGCAAAACATGTCAGAAAAAAACAAGAAAAAACAGAAATCACAACGCTGGATAGAAGCAAGGACCTGAAGTCATCTTGGGGTCTCCAGAAAAGGAAGTACGAATTAATAAATGTATCATTGTACCACATTGCAATACATGCTCAATTCATTTCATGCATTGTTGCTTTGAGCTGGGTCTCATTATGTTGCTCAGGCTGGCCCTCATTGTCTAAGCTCAGGCAAGTCTCAAAGTGCTAGGACCATTGGAATGTGACACTGTGCCTGACTCATCCAGCTGGGAAGATGTGTGCTGGCACTTGAGCAAGTGAAATGCTTCTAGCAAGCACCTGACTAGAGAGACAGCTGTCACTCCTTTGGTTTTTGCAAGATGAGGGCTCACTCTCTAGTTCAGGATGGCCTCAAACTTGCAGCAATTCTCCTGCCTCAGCCTCAAGAGTGCGCCACTTCAGCTAGTTGAGGGGGCTATTTTTAAGCCAAATCAGATAAAGAAGCTGAAGATCTACAAGCTACTGCAGGAGGCAAAGCACCTGCCCACTCTACCAGCGTCTGCAGGGTGCAAGAGCACAGGGCACAGTTCTGTGGGGAAGCCTCTCGCGGACCTGTGTTCTCTTCTTGGTTGCGCGATCTGCAGCTCGGGATAACAAAGGTGGAACCAGCTTTTCCCACCAGAGCCCTCTCTCACCTGTCATCCCAAATGCAGGGCCCAGCACCGGGACATGCTCCATTAACTTCCTATGCAGTCCCTTTCTGGACACCTTTGGTTGAACAAGGACCAGCAAATGTATCTTCCACACGCAAGACAAGAAGTTTCACTTGCTCTCACTTTTCCTTCACTGTGTGCACATGAGAGCTGCCCAAAGTGGCCAGCAGAAATTGCAGTGCTTCCCAGAGACCCTTGCTCCCTCCATACCATGAAATCACTCCTCATGGCTGGGCCTCGACGGAGAAAAGCCTGCTAACCTCCGACCTCCAGCTTCCAGTGGCTGAGAGCACAAAGAGGCCCAGCAACCCAGTCCCTGAGTTGTTCCTCACTAAAGGGGTCCTTGAGATCAAACTTAAGAATTACAGGTGTATGGGTCAGTAAAATGGAAACAGACCTGCCCACTCTGTGTTCTGGGTCTGCAAGGCCCCTGCCATACCTATGGTCACAGAGCAAATGGCTATACAGTGGGCAATAGAAACCCTGTTATCATATCTCCTATCATGTCACACCCCAGTTCAAGTTCAACCCACCCTTCCCAACAGGTAGCAGCAGCCTCACTGGTAGACATTTCCCTTCTCCCACCCCCAAACTGTAGTCATACATGAGAGTCTCCACACTGGGGACCCTTGATGCACCAAATTTTCTGTGGGAGGATAGACAGACTCTCGGGATTGTATCACAGAAGCAACACTGGCAAAGTTCTGCTACCAAGGTGGAGGCAAGGCAGGGCACTGGGATGCTGCTGGCAGCTCAGAGGCTGGAAGGCTTTTGAGCTGGGCTTTCACAGGAGGGCCCAGCAGGCAGGGTGTGAGTGGAATCAGGTTTCCAAGCCCTGCTCCTGGTGACTGCTGGCAGGAAGAGTCAAGGGAACTGGCCAGACAGCAAGGACAGAGCCGAAAGCTCAGGGTTTTAGCCCTGTCCCTACACCAGGACTACGGCTACAGTAAGCTACTCTCAGCTCATGCAAACTACAAGAACATAGAATTGTTGCACGGCTATGATTTGCATTGTGCTTCCCTTGCTTCCAGGAATAACAGAGCAATTTTTCCCAAAGTCTCAAAGCCCTCTTGTGCTGGCACTGGGTCTGGGAGCTGCCCAGGAAGGAAGGAAGGTCTGCCTGTCACCTTGGAGGGAGAACCAGCTCCCTCGCCACTGCCCTGGGGGTTTCCAAAGAGGTGGCTAGTCCTTCCTCCATGAATCTTTCCTTTTAAAGCAGACTAGCCACAGCGACGAGCAGGTCCAGGAGCCAGACCCTTGCTGCAGCCAACAGCTCCTCTGCCCAGGCTGAGCACTTCCTTCAGGCCCTGAGGTGTGCGAGCTGAAGGAAAGTAATGCCTCTGGCTAAACTGCAACCACTGAAGGATTCATTTTGAGAGCTGCAGCTCAGAAGTGATTGTTGAAATATGGCATTTTCTGTTCTGATTGGAGACACCCTTCAAATAAAGATTTGAGGGTATATTTCAGGTGATAAAAAGTGCCCTTGAGAAATGGACTTTGATTGACCCAAGAAGCAGCCCTAGGATGTGAGGCACATTGGCTGGTGGGTGGTCCCGGCCAGGTCTCTCAAGGAATGCAGGACACTGAAACCCACAAAGCCAGTTTGAACTGCAGAACAAAATGACTAAGTATCAAAGCAAATCATGCAGCAAATGGGTCCAAACAAAAAATGGTTTATTCTGAATATTTAATTTTTAAAAAATCATACTTAGGAGGTGTACTACAGAAATCCAGATACAGTAAGTTGTATATAAAACTCAACCTAATAAGGGAAAAGCAAGACTGCAGAAATCACTTCCAGACAGAAAGCATGCACATCAGGACAACCAACTGTCCCCAACAGTCTAACATTTCTGTGGATCTGCTGGAAAGACACCTGTCCCCCCGATCATGTGCACCAATAGGACTGGCCCTGGGAAGGACACATATTTTGCCTTGCAAGGAGCAGGTAATATGGGCAGAGTGGCTTAAAAAAACTACTGTGGCACAGCGGGAAGGAACACTGCTTGTTACCAGTTGTATTTTTGCCAACTCAATTACATTTTAATAAGTAAACATGAGGTTTTGGCAAAATGCACAATCTCCTGAGGAGGGCATCCTTTGGGCACTTCACACCAAGAAGGCACATGCCTCCCCAAACTGGTGGCCATCTAGCCACACACGTCACACCCCCCTGCATGAGCTGACAGCCATGGGAGCACCCTGGGTGGCACCCAGGCCCAACACTAGTTTTAAGCTCACCTCTAACTTCAAGGCCCTTCACTGTGGGCCAGTGTCTAAGACAAGCAGTGAGGAACAGTAGAAGGACATGGTGACACCTAGCAGGGCAGGAGTCAGGGGTCAGGAGAGCCATGGAGAGAGGGATGAGATAAGACAGGGACACAGGAGAAAGCCTCAGACAACCTGGGGTCATATGGGATGAGATATGGGGTGTCCCACATGACAGGGTAGCCAGTGCCCCTCCGGGGGTTCCCACCAGTCTGACCATTGACCTGGGCCTTCCCTCCACTTCTGAACACTGCTGCTCCACAGAGCTTATGTGGGCAGCCACTTCCAGTGCTGCAGACATGGACATCAGTCCTGGGAGACCCAACAGTCAGGACAGACACACACACAACATGCACTACTGACTTCAGGAGAGCCACAGGCCCCTGAAGTAGCTACACATGACAAGTCAATTTGGCAAAAAAAAAAAAAAAAATATTCAAAAACAATCACCAACGTCCTCCTAGGGATCATGATTACAATATATTAGCAAATTCTGTGGCATCAACATTTCAAAAGCATCAGCAGAAGTATTAAATATAAAAGCAATACGTAAATTCCCCTCCCACCCTCAAAAAGAAAATGAACACAAAAATACAAACCCAAAACCCCAAACCAGCAAAGGCATGATCTGTAGTGTGAATCTGTGCAGGCACGCATGGCAGGCTGGCCTACTGCCGCAGCTCCACATAGTTGGCCGGGAAGAGCCCGTACCGGCCCTTGCACACGCCACGCCACCAGCCATCATCAATCATTTCTATGTTGCTGATGATGTCATCAGGGTCAAAGGAGATTTCATCATCACCCGCTGGGAAAAAAGCAGAGAGAGAGACACAAATGGAAAACATTTCTAGGGGGCTGGGAGGAGCATGCAGCAAGAGGACATGGCAGCCACAGTCCGCGTAAGGCTGGGGTGCACAAATGTGAGCGGCGTCTTCCAAAAACCTCCACCCTGGCCAGACACGGTTTTTGGGAAATGGCCAGGGTGGGTGGGAACTCGCCTTCCTTCCCACCTTCCCTGGGGGGTGCGAGGAAAGGGTGCCCACCAGTCACAGGGCATAGTGGGACGAGGACATGTAGGAGGGGTGGTCAGGGTGGGTGGTTCTCAACATGGGAAGGTGTCTAGAAGGAAGCCCAGGTGACAGGCTGTAATGTAGGTCACAGGATAAACTCAAACATACATACAGATAGCAAAACGTCAGAGAACCCATCGAAGAATAAATATAGAAACATGTGTGCTGCTGGGCATGGTGGTGCACATCTGTAATGGTAGCAGTCAGGAGGCTTAGACAGGAGGATCCCATGCCACAAGTTCAAGGGCTACATAGTGAGTTCAAAGCCATCATCAACTACGAAAAGAGACCCTGCCTCAAAGAAAAAAGAGTAAAAGAAATATATAGATGGGGGAATAAATAACAGCAGGTATGGAAAGGCTGCCTCTTATCACCCCCACTCAGCAAGGAGGAGGAACTGGGAAGCTACTGTCAGGGAAGGCCGAGCGAGGCTGAGAGAAGACAGGACCTGAGGGGCTTGCAGTCATCAACTGCTACTGGAGTGGTGTGGATTGGCAAGTGATGGTGACCAATGCCACAGAAATAACGTAACGGGGTAGAGCTGAGGTTTATCTCAGTGGTGTAAGCGCCTGCTTGGCAAGCACAAGGTCAGGAGTTCGATTCTCAGTACCAAAAAAAAAAAAAAAAAAAAAGACAACTCAGTACAGGAAGGCACAAAATTGTATCAATGACCTTCCTCTCATGTGAGTACCACCTCTGCTGGGCCCTGGCCAACTGTGGAAGGACACGGCCCAGGAACAGGGCAAAATAGGACCAACGCCAAGGGGTGTGTCATATGCACAAGTGACCTCCCAGAGGGTGGAGAGTGCTGGAAGCACTCACGTGAGACTCTGGATGTCCTGGACATGCACAATGCAGTTTTCAAGTTTTGTTTTCTGTTCATTTGTAATACTAGGGAGGGAGTGGGGGCCACCTGCAGGCATTTTACAGAGCTGCATCGCCAACATTTCTATTTCTTCTGAGACAGGGTTTTGGTAATTCACCCAGATGGGGTTCAAATTTGCATTCCTCCTGTTTTGGTCTCCCAAACAGCCAGGATCGCAAGTATGTGCCATCACATCAAATGGGGTTTTAAGGGGCAACGGGTACCTTGCAGCTCTTCAATGGTTCTGAAAATAAACGTAACTGAAGTGATTAAATACATGCACACATGTAGAAAATTAGGATCTGGTTGAGACAAGAGAGCCCTTGTCACTGTACTGGGAATTTTTCTGTAACTGAAACTATTTCAAAATAGAAACTGCAGCATCACTGGAAAGCTCAGATTCTTAGGGGCTGAGCTGGCAGGAACAAAGGGCAGGAAGTTGCTCAGGCGCCTCACCAGCCTGGTAGTCGTAGAGTGCGATGGCTGTGATGCCCAGGTCATTCTCATACTCATCATAGGTGTTCTCTTCTGAAAGGAAATAGGGACAGTTGAGCAGCACCTGGTGTCCCCACCTGTACCTCCCCACTGTAACTGCTTTTCACACAATGATTCCCAAGATTTGGGGCAGCAGCATTTGCTAAGAAAAAATCTCAGTGAGTGAGGTCCACCCTGAAGCCAGCAGGAGAGAGGAAAGGAGGCACCTTCTGGATACACAATGCTTTCAAGAGCAAGTCCATGGACACCCAGCTCTGCCATCACCCAGGGAACATGGCTCTCCTGACACGTATCAGGACCATTTTTAGAGTATAACTTTTAAAATGCAAAATATCTAGCATCATCAGGGAAGTGAATGAGAGAAGGGGCAGGGCAATCGATGCCTGTGACACTGTCAAGGTAAGAGGCTTTGCCCCCCTCATGTGTGTTCTCAGCCCAAGTGGCTCCTGCCCTCCATACCGACCATACTGTTCCACATGGGATAAGGGATCTGTGCTGGACCTGGTGTACTACAGGAAACCTCAGTATTAAAGGACAACAAGCCCATCTGCAGTGTTCACCTAGGTCACTGGTGGAAAACCTTTTGGAGACCAACTAACTACTCAAACTGTAACACAAAACCCACTTATGAATCACAAAGTGATAACGCTGCAATTAAACCTGAATACCGAGGTTTTAGTTTACAAAAATAACCTAATTCAATGCTCGGTTTCTGGTGGGACTTGGATTGTGTGCCAAGAGAGGGCTCTGCGCATACCCACTGCAGCAGGCATGCTATAGGTTCGCCACACTGACCTAAGTGAAACACCTGCACCATCTTCAAGCCGCAGAAAGTGTCACATTTAAGGTCGCACTGCAGCAGACAGGTGCTTGATGTCCAGAGGAAATGCCACAGTAACAGAAGCCCATTTCCTGACTCCAGACCTGTCCCCATGCTCCCTGTATCCCAGAATGCCAGGGACCTTCCCAGGACCACTGCTGCCATTGGAGACCACTGGGCCTAGGGCCATTTAATAGGGAAACAAAGAGTTCGGGGGTAGGGGTGTGAGCAAACAGGAACCCTGAACACATTCTTCATGGGGAATAATGCTGGGTGGGATTTCTCAGGGAGCCCATTGCCAGGAAAGGCATGGGACGTGGTCACAGTACCTGCTTGGTAGTGGCCAGAGGCCTTGGTGGTGTCATAGACGGCTTCCAGATCATAGCCCAGGCCCTGTTGGCTGATGGCCTCTGGGTAGCTTGTAGACTCGGCAATGTATGCGGGCTCGGGCTCACTCTCACTTGCAGGACCTCTGTGGCTCACTTCTGCCTTTAAGGAGGCTGCATCCTGGAAAGTAACAAATGGACATTTCCTGTGGCCTAGGTTGGCACCTACAAAGTTCACAGCTACACAGCCAATGCCATCGAGGATACAGGGACTTATTTCCTAGCTTCGGCTGGGATTGAGGACAAGGACTCCGGTCAGGAAAGCATCAGTGCAAAGTCCTGACTGACCTCTCATCCAGGGAGCCCCAGTCCTTATTACCCCAAGACTCCCAAATCCTGAAGGAACTGAAGTCCACTCTCCCCACCAGGAACCACACACTCCCCAAACTGCATCCCAGCACTCGAGTCAATGCATCCTGAGTTCGAATTAGCCTGTTTGTAATTTTAGGCCTCAGGTTTCTGTCCTGTCCAGTGCTGCCTATCAGCACCAGCCAGCAGCTTCCCATTCACCCCAGCCCACTGCCTGGGGCAGCCACACTGTTGGGCAACAAGGTTGTCTTCTAACAAAATTATCCACGCAGAGTGAGGCAAAGGAACCACCAAAAGAACCACGTACAAAGACAAAGGTACTCAGGGGAAATATACACCTTATAATTTAAAACTGCGTGACTAAAAATTTTTTTAATTAAAACAAAAAAAACCGTATGACTTCTGAGCTCTAACAGGCATCCTGAAGCACACATTAACATTGGCTCTAATGTTTCTGACCCGATGCCCTATGTGGGTCACCAAAAACAAGGCAGGTGGTCAGGAATGGCACTTGCAGGATGCTGCTGGGAGGCCTGGCTTTCTCTGGATTTGGGAATGAGACCAGGAACACCCAGCCCCGGCCCTGTGCATGTCCATAGCTTTCCTGGGTCTGTAACCTCTCTGTGTCTTGAGTCCTCAGCAGTTGCAATTCACTGACACAAAGTGCTATTTAGATGAAAGAGGAAATGTGCAGCCCAGAGTGGCTATGGGGGAAAAAGGAAACGGGCCATGGGCCACAGTGGAGGAGGAGCCAGGAGCCTGGGCAGAGCACACGAGTCGTCAGGCAGGTTAGCATCTCAGGGACAAGGCAAGATCACAGGTGTATGCGAGGCACCAATGTGGCACAGAAGGGAGGTGTCTGGGAACACACCACCGGAGCCACAGGAGTGACACAATGGGTGGTGCCTCAGGGCCAAGGGAGGATGACAGTTCCCATAAAGAAGTGTGGCCAGCTCGACACACATAGGCTTGTGAAAGAAGACCAACAAAACCAATGTGACTGAGCATTTGGCGTCCGGTGACTTCCCCGGGGCTGTAGGGAGACAGTGACCCACTCCTCAGCTGGCAGTCTGACTATAGGGAGGTGCAGAAAGGTAAGGAAGGGCTGCGGGGAGTATGCTTCACTCCAGGGATGCCATCCCTGAACCCTGCCACACCATAAGCCCAGTGTGGGCACAGAGCACAGCAGGTCAAATATCGACGTGGGCACAACAACAGGTCCAAGACTCCTTCACGAACCAAACGAAAACACCCACCTCATAGACAGGGCTAGAAGGCTGCCTCTCCTCAGCTGGCTGTGGAGTGGGGGACTCGGTGGGTGTTTCCTTTTTCTCTCTGGCTTGCTCCTACAATAGAAAAACAGCAACCAGAAGGTCATGACCATCTCGATGACACCAGCAACTCAGAAAAGAAAGATACCTTAGCCTGAAGAATGGTCCTGATGCAACAGCAGACAACATCACACATCCTGGAGATGGAGCTGCTGGAGCAAAGGCAAGTCACACAGTCAGCAGACCACCTTGAGAGCAAAGACCTCAATGGCCTGCAACACTCCACCGTGCCACGTCTTGGGGGACAAACTTCACCAGATACCAGGCACAGCCACAGAGCTGGCACTGGCCTATAGCTTGCTGTTGAGCCCTCATGCACCAGGTGATACAGATGATTAGTTGATGTGTAGTGCACTGAGGTTCTCAAGGACCATGACGTGACACGACTATATTCTGAGTGGGAGGAAAGTATGAATCTTTGGCCGCCATGGATACAATGCAGTAGACAAAGAATGCTCCGATTCCATGGTGGGCCCAATGTCATCACAAGGTCCTCATAAGACAGGGAGGAGTGTGACAGGCAGGCAGGACATCTGAGGATGGAAGCAGAGGCTGGAGTCATACTAGCCAAGAAACGCAGGGGCCTCTAGAAGCTAGAAAAAGGAGACACACCCAGAGCCTGCAAAGGAATGCAGACCCTCTGAAACCTCTGGGGATTTTGACTGCCAGAAGCGAAGAAAGTGTTTCAAGTTCAGTTTAGGTGACCTGAAACGGCAGCCACAGGAAACACACTGACGGCCTGCACGTTCCTGGAAGGGCTGCCGAAGACACACAGCCAGGGAGCCGCAGAGGCATAATCTGAACCCCTGGTGCCCATGCCACATCTCTCCCTCATGGGACAACGAAACACTGTCTCATTTTGTTGGAAAGAAAAGTAGGCCTGGTCCTTGAGACCCTGAGCACAGGTCTCTGCATGGCTGTGGACTGGCCTGACCGGCAAGCATTTGTCACCTGGAATCCTACACAGGCTCAACACCCAAAGCCTGAGTCCCAGGGAGCCCTGAAGGGCAGGAGTGGGCCCACCAGCTGCAGCACCCAGGCCCCTGGCTGCAAGGTAACTGGATCACCTCACAAACACAGCTGCAGGCTGAAGGCCCTACCTCCAGCCCTTCCCAACCCAGCTGGGTGAGAAGCCTCCTCAAAGGCAGCCACCAGACAGTGTGGATTGACACACAGGCTCTTCTAGCCTGGACGCACTGTGCCAACCTCTCTGGGGCACTCCTAAGTAACGGAGGGGCTCCACCTGAGACTCAGCACACTCCTGGGGAAGAGCGGGTCCTGGAAACAGAAAAGGACTCAGCAAGCAACCTGCAAAGAAAGGGGCTAAACAGTAACTACCCAACTCGCATTTCTCTCTCCTCCCAAGCAAGCAGGTCAACCTGCTTCTTTTGGGTGCTGTTGGATCCCAAATGACAGAGATTAAAATTCAGTCATGAAATAAGGAAGGCCCCAATTATGTGAAAAAAAGACGAGACAGAAAGTAAAGCGTGCCTATGTGTATTCGGGTGTTCTGTGACAAGAACAACAAACAAACACCTTACTTTATAAAAACTATGAAGGAGCGGTCATTAGGCGTTTCTAATTACTAAGAACAGGAAAACAGTGCTGCCAGGATCCTCCGTTTCCCTCACCAGCCTGCCTGTACTAAGGCAAATCGGGGCTTGTTCATTAATGCCTGCGCTCCCAGCACCCCTGCCTCTGCACACCGACCTCCTCCCTGTGGGCATTCTCAGAACCCAAGCACTGCTGTAAGGAGAAAACAGCCAGCACCTCACTTGGCCCAGCAGTTTCATGCACATTACTTCAGCCTCTACTGATGAACTACCCAAGAGAACCAGCCAGGCTGTGAGCTGCGGGTCCTGAGGAGCAGGTGGCAGAGCAGAGCCAAAGCCCTACAAAAACCTCTGGAAAGTTGCACCCTGCACCCTGTCCAACCTCCCTTCCTTTAGTTAAAATGTGCAGACCACAAGGAAAAGTGGCAGACCGGTCCCAGAAGTCAGGGCAACAGAAAGCACATCTCCCTTCCCACTGAGTTTGTCCTGAAGGATCTGGCAGGTGGGTTTGGGGATGGCAGCCCTGCCAGCCTATGTTGCTGACTCTTTGAGTGGAAAACGCTTTCTACTAAGATCCTCTGGGACTGCAGAGCAAATTGGCAGCCACCACAAGCACAAGCACCCCCTCAGCCACGCATGCTCATGCACTGGGCCAGCTCCTCTGTCCTCACCTCCAGCTTCCTTCGAGCCTCCTCCTGCTCCTTCCTTTCCTTGGCCATCCGCTGTGCTCTCTCTGCTTCCACCTTCCGCCTGTCCTCCTGCTCTCTCTCTTTAGCGAGGTTTTCAAAGTTTGCCCTGATGTTGCTGGTTTTGCTGGTCACTGTCAAGGAAGGAAAGAGGGAAGAGGGTGTCTGCCTCACAGCACCTCGGAACACCTCCCTGGGCTGAAAGCCCAAGCAGAGTGACCTTCTGCAGCAATAGTTGGCCCCACCAAGAGCTCACACTTCCCCCACTGTGCTGAGCCTGCCTACTGGGCCAGCTCTCTACACGGTAAGTAGCAGCACTTCTGTCTGAACCTTGGTTTTCCAGGTTTTCTTTTCTGAGATGATGGGAAGTGAACTCACAGAAATCTGAGCTACATCCTCAGTCATTTTTACTTGCTTTGTTGAGACAGTCTCATTAAGTAGCCTAAACTGGCCTCAAACTTTTGATCCTCCTGCTTCAGGCTTCCCAGTAGCTAGGATTACTGGTGTGCACCGCACAGCCCAGCTGAAATACTTTTAAATAACACATCATCACATTATTTGCTACCACATGCTGAAAAACAAAGAAGCAGGCATCCTTACCAAAAGATGCAAGTCTGTTGTTATTAAAGAAGTTTAAAAAAAAGGTACTGATTTTCAGCAGATTCTGACCTTTACATCTGCATTTTGGGTGTTTCGTGTGGCAGAAATGGGAAAGTCAGAAAGCACTCCTGTACATCTCAGAGAACAGCCTCTCTGCACTCGCTAACTGGTTTTCTTATGAAACATAATTCTCCCTAAGATAACAAGTGGCAGACAAACTCTGGCTTGCAGCTTTGGGGATTTGGCAGACACTTCCTTCAAAGTAAATGAATCAAATCATTCTGTCAACAAAACTTACTGCAGTATTTGTTACCCATAGGAAAATTAATGCTTTCAAGCAGACTTAAAGAGTTCTAGAAAATTAGTAGCTGCCAGAGTGAGCATGACAATTGTCACTCAAAGACTGCACCAATGAGATGGAGAACAAATTTCTAATTTTCTACAATAGTATAATGAAAGGGATCAACCGCAGGAAAACAAGGATAACCTGTAGGTCTAGTGTTTTCCTAATGGCTGAACCATGACGTCATGCTGGGTAAACTTCCCATGGTGCAGAACTAGCCTTCAAGGAAAGACAGCCCACACGCTCCAGGAAAAATACAAAACACCATAGTGACCCCAGGTCACCAAGGCCCCTTCCTTCCCACCTGCTGGCCCACCTGTGTCCAGTTTGTCTTATCTGTAGAAGCAACCTGGCCACTGCCACAGACAAAATGTGGGAGCAGAGCAGATATGAAACCCCAATCCACCATCCTCTAGTAATGGGATTTGGAAAAATATAAAATGATGTCACTCCCCTAAATTTTCTTATTCTGAAAATCACAGTAATTTTCTTAAAAGCAAACTCATTAAGCAGATGTATAATGGTTTTATCTTTACATGAATTGAAAACTTTCCTCCATTTTAATTTATAGTATGATACATACCAATTACCACATCCAGCACCATGGAGGCTCCCTGTGGTCCTCAGTGACTTTCCAAGTGCCAAGGTGGTATGGGCCCACAGAATCGGGAAGTGATCCCAGGCAACTGCAGCAGAGCTACAGTAACTCTAAGCTCCACTCCCCTCCTTCTTCTTCTCTCCCTGTCCCCTCACTCCACTGAGACTTGAGCCCAGGGGTCTTTCATTGTTTAATGTTTCTTGTGACAGTTCTCACTGAGTTGCCAAGACAGCACTTGAACTTGCAGTTCTCCTGCCTCAGGCTCTCACAGTGCTGGGGTTCTGGGCACGCGCCACCTACGGGCAGGTATTTCCTCTGAGGTGAGCAAAAGTGGGCTTCTGCTTCCCAGTTTTAAGTGGACCCCCATTCACAGGGTGCTGGGACTCTGGTGTAGGCTTTGTTGTGAGAGATACTTTCCAAAGCAAAGAGGGGTTAACTGTGTCTCCAGGGTCCCTGCAATGTAGGGGACGGGGTTCTGGGAGCAGTCACACATGTCCCTCTGCTCCTGGCTGTTTCTCCAACCTAGCTTTTCCTCCTGGGATTTTCCCTAGACTTTCCTCCAGAGAAGACCACATAGCGCTTTGGCTGTGCAGGTGACACTCACCAGCTTCAACAGGGACAGTCTTCTGGTAGGCAGAGGATACCTGTGCCACATCTTCAAAGGTCGATGCATTCTGCAGAGATGGAAAAAGAAATCCGAATTGTGCTCCTCTGCCCCTCCGGCCCTGGGGAAATGATACATCCTCCCCAGATCCCTCAACAGACCAGGCAGCCTAAAGCTCTGCCGCTGTGTCCTGCAGATTCACAGAGGTACAGCCACACACACCGCCGACCATTAGTCAGTGTCACATCCACCTGCTCAGGGACAAGCCACCTCTGTGCTGCTCAAGCCTGATCAAGCTTGCCCCCGCTCTGCCTACAAGCCTCTGCTCTCTGGGGACGGGTCCTCAGGACACACAGGCCTGCCTGGCCAGATGCTCCATGTGGCTCCTTAACTGCGATGCCACCACTTTATTTCAACTGGGCTCTCAGCTATGCCCCAGGGAACCTGCTGTGACATCAGGCCCTAAACTGCAGGACCTAGCACAGGCTGATGGGGTCCTTAGAAACTAATGACCGTCCCCAGTTCCTTTGGGAGCTGCACCACTGCTGATAGGAGCACCCTGCTTCGGCTCAGGATGCTCACTGCTTCCCCACATGGCACACTAGAGTGCAGCCCAAAGAGGCAGCCCTCGAGGTAGCAAAATCACACGTCCCTGTGGCACAGGCACAGGCGGCTCCAACTGCCCACAGGAGACCAGAAAGGAGTCCGGCTCACTTCCATCCTCCCCTTTATCTGTCCTTTCACAGGGGAGCCCAAAAACCCCACCCCAAAGGACTCCCACCTAGACCAGAGCAGTCACCTGTCCCGTCTACCTGTCCCCTGCCCTCCTAACCACCATGCCCAACAGATCCAGCTCTATGGCTTCTGAGGACCTTCAGCTTAGACTTATCTCTTTTGACTCTAAGCTTTGGCTGCTCAGCTTTCCTGACTAAACCTTTCTCTCTTCCCAAACCCACTGACCCTAGACAGTCTGCTACCTCTTCCAGAACAAACCCTGCCCAGCTGTCCAGGGGACTCCTGCCTGCCCTGTAGCCTCAGGGTGGCAGTGAGGCCACTACCCTGGTTCCTCCCCTCTGATTTGGGAGTGTGGCTCGAGTCCGGTCATCCCACTGCCTGCAGTGGAGACCTCTGGCTTGCTGCTCAGGCAGGGGCCATCTCTCCGTCCACATCCACTCCCCATCCACATCACCTCCCACACCATCCCTGCGCTCAGCCTTCCTCACAGTGACTCCATCACCAAGACCCACCTCTGCTCTGCATGCTGGAAAGGGAAGCCAATCTATACGTGGGACGCAAGCATCCTTCCACTGAGCTACCCTCCAGACTATGACTGCCTACAGACCACAGCCTCTCACACTTGCCACCTTCCTACCCACATAAACCTTGCTCCATCCTCCTTGTCCTCTCTGGCCTGGCTCCAAGATTCACAAGAGCAACCACGCTTGCCCTCATGCCTATTACAGCCAAACTTGTCCAAAACAGGATAGGCTGGCATTTCCAAAACGGAAGGTCACTGGCCTCGCGCTCACCTCCATCACCACAGGGACAACTGCAGACTCCAGTCCTCAGCGACCCATCATGTTTTCAGGATGCCTCATAGCACAGCCTAGGCCCTGGGCACAGTCCTTGCTTAGAAAGCACTGGTCTCCATGACAGCACAACAGTCCCAAGGGGGAATCATGATGCCTCACGCACAGTGTTACAAGAGGCAATGCCAGCCTCGCATGCTTACTTCTATGGTGTGTACAAGCCCAGCAGTCACTGGTTACTACTGGCACCCACCAGACAAGAGACGGAAACTTCCTCAACTCCCAATCGCAAAGCCACAACTTCTGACTCCCTCGATCATTAGCTCCTTCCGTCTTCCTGTCCCAGGGGCCCCAGCCACCAGAGACTTGCTGGGGTTCCCTGCTACCACCTGGAGGAGCCTCCTTGCCCAGCATCCTCTGACCTCACCACTGCCATCAGACAGGTGCAGCCCTGAACTGGAGGAACTCCAGGCATCACAAGCACTTACATACATGCTCACCCAAATTCTCCAGATCTAAAAGTCATCCCACTGGCCACTTAGCTCCTCCCTCCTCCTGGGCCCTTGAAGACAAACCCCAGCCCAGCCACTTGCCACCTTTACATCTATGACATCAGATGCATGTCCCCTTGCAACTCCAGCCTAAGATAATATCTTGTTCATGCCTCTGGGGCCACCTCCTCACAGCATCCTTAGACCATCTCCCACGATGCAGGCAGGGGCTACTCAGGGGAGATGCCACTCTTGTCCTCTGCCTGCTAATCCCATCCAGGGCTCCAGAGTCTGTTTAGCAACTTGAGGACCGCACATGGTTTGTGCAGCTCCCCTCTCCAGCCTCTGCAGTGATCCCTCAATCCCCCACACCAAGACATATGCTGTGTCCTCTGCTCTGCAGTCTCCCAGCCCTGACTTTCCTAACAAACTCTTCCCCGCTCTTCAGAACTGGGCTCTGACTAGTCCTTTCCCCAGACCCCTTGGCCTGTGCGGTGTGCCCAGGGTTCTCCCATGGATCCTGGTGACATGGGGAAGTGCCCGAGCAGAGGCTGTGAGGTCAGCAACAAGCTGCATAGGAGCAGAGCTCTAAGGCTCCGCATGCCACCCACCACTACAGCCCAGGGCAGGATGACCCTACAAATGGTCTCACATGAACTCAATTCCCAGCCTGATTTACCATTCATAATCAAAGTTCAAATAGCAGTACGATCCAGTGACAGCTCCCTCACTGCCATGCTATGGCCAAGCACTTAGCCTGGCTAGTTCAGACCCTCGACTGGGAGCCAGCCCACTGCTGCCGTAGTGACATACACCAGGCTGAGTGGGTGGATGGCCAGAACCATGAGCACAGTGCCTGCCTGATGGTAGCTACAAACAGCAACTGACACAGAGTGGGGGCTGCAGGAATCCCTGGGCCTGCCGGCAGAAAGTTCTACTCCTGGAGCTGGACAGCCTTACCTTATCCATCCGATCTTTCTGCACCCCGTACTTGCCACCGAATCCTTTGGAATAGTCTGAAGGTGACAAAACACAAGATTTACTCTGAGGCATAGGACAGGCCCAGTCCGAGATGACCGCAGGTGCATGCAGACAGGTCTCAAACAGCCCAAGGAAATGCACCCTGGCAGAAAGAACCAAGAACCGCCACAAGACAGGCTTTCCAGGCCAGGCAAGTTGCGTCTGACCACAGTGTCCAGTGCACAGGCAGGGAGCAGGACAGGCGTGGGCATGCTTCTGGCATTCTCCTGGGGAAAGGGCGGGGACAGGCAGCAGGCTGGCAAGAAATAAGCCAAGAAGGGGGCACAGGACAGGCCTTTGCGATGCGCCACTTCACTAGCACAGTCTTCCATATCAGCCACGGGGCTTATGCTCATCTGTTTCCTGTGCGCCCGTTCTACCCAGCACTAAATAGAGGCTCAGTCGCAGTTTGTTTTCTTGCTTTTTAAAAGAAAGAAAATACTCCATGTGGACATTCTACCAGCCAAATATGTCTGCTGCAGCAACACACATCCACATGAAAGTCACAGTGTCATGCAGTCTCAATGCCGCAGAGACCCAATGGCCCTCTCCATGCAGTCTGCGGGGTCAGGCCCAGGGTGTTCAACACCCTACGCCCGAGCACTGCACAGCTCCTAACACTGTGCTCAAAGCCTGCACTCTGCCCTTCACTGCTGGATATCACCATTCCCCTAGTCATGGGTCCAGGTTCTAGTAACCAAGTCTCTGTTGGAGAACTTCGATGGACTGCTCTAAGGAATATGTGTCAACTATCTGGATTTCCAGTGTGTGGCCCCAGAAAGGTTACTTGCCAGCTGTGTGCACACTTGTGTGACTCCATGCGAAGATCCTACACATGGATGGTGTCACAAAGAAAAAAAAAAACAGAACAAACAAAACTACCCACCCCTGTCTAAAAGGCACCACTGCCACAATGAAACACAGAAATCACATAGAACACGCATTTCTCAGCCCTCACTGCTACGAAGACTCTGATGGAAGGGTCAGAGGTGCTGGAACTAAAACCTCTCTCTCTCTCCTCACCTCAGAGGCAGCAAGGCCTGGCATGATGACCCAAGAAGTCGTGGTCAAAAGCAAGCAAATGTGCAGAAGGCTGTTAGGAGACCACCCCAGAAACCAGATAAAGGGGTTAGAGTTCATAACTTGTGAACTATCATTTCTACCCCAACTTTCCCCTGAAAGGTCAAAAGGGGAAAAAAAGAGAATGAGAAAAAATGGAACTTAGTTTCAATGGGTTGAGGATGCCCAATGCTCTGACAGCTGGTGAGCAGGAGAGCCTGCTGCAGCACCGAGGTGAACCCTGAAGCCTGTGCTGGAAGTGGCTGCACCGCAAGGGAGTGTGGGAAGAGGCGGGGGTGGGAAATGTGCCTTGCTGGGATTCGTGCTTGGCCAGTCTCTCCTTGTAATCAAACCCCACAGCGGAGGAGTCCTGCCTCTCGGACTGAACACCAAATTTGCCTCCGAAACCAGTCTTATAATCTGGAAATCCACATGTGACAATGGGGAAAACAACCAAGAAAGGAAACACAGGGTGTGTTAGAATCACATGAGAATGGGCACTGTCTAACATATCGTTTCAAGAAAGCAAGAGCTCAGTAAGCCTAGTGGGGCTGACCATCTGAAGTGGACTTGAGTGATTAAGGGACAACTGGCAAGGGGAACACTTCAGCCCCGACCTGGAAGCAGCTAAGAACTGTACTTTCAGTCATTCAGCAAAGCCACTCCACGCATGGAGGCTTCTCTTGAGGCTCCAACCCGTGCTGCTGAGACATCAAATACAAAGGACACCCTGCCCCACCCCTGCCGGGCACAGGATGGGTCCCTGAACCCTAGCTTAGGTGGGGCAGAAGGAAGGCCTCTGCTGCCCTTGAACTGACTCTTCCAGGGTCAGGGTCTCCCTTGTGACTGTAAAACACTGCCGGTCAGAAAGGAAGCATCTGATGACACAAACCAAAGCTTACTTTATAATCAAGAACTGGGGCCTAAGTGCAGTGCGCTTCAGCGCAGTACCCGAAGGGCACAAGGCAAATGCTCCCAGCAGTGCCACTGACGCAGCCCTGTGCTGTGAGACACAGCCCTCACGTGACTGAGGCTCTGCACTACTAACTAGCTCAGGAGCTTCCGGAACGCTGGGACGGCACCACATAGAGAAGACACCACACTTGAACAGAAATATAGCGAATACAAAACATGACCGGCCCAGGAACACATACAGCTCTCATAATGGCCTTGATTACGGGCAAAGAGAATGTACCTTTTTGAGATTCATGCAGCTGTAATTTCTCTTGGTGATCCCAGCCAAGGGCACATTTGTCTTGTCTGTCTGTTTGCACACCAAATTTTCCTCCAAACCCTTTCACATAGTCTACATGCACAATAAAAAGCCATAATCTGGTGTTAACAGGCAGCCTGGGCACAAGTAGAAAGCAGGTTTCTAATAATGCAATTTAAAACACACAAGTCACCAATCCCACCCTTTCTTTTCCAGAACTTTGGTAAAACACCCATTAACACCCACACAAAGTAGCCAGAAAATTCCCTCATCTGGAATCTCAGCGTTGCAGACAGTCCCACCCAATGCACAAGGCTTACACCAGCATTCCGAAGCAGCACTATCTCAAGACATACAGACAGATGTGTGGGACAAGGACATTATTATGAGCAAAAAAGGCATAAACATCTGATCTCATTTAAAAGCTATGTTTCTGGAGTCAGTTTTCTATTTTGGCTTATGTGTTTTGAGACATGGTTTCACTATGTTGCCCATGCTAGTTTTAAACTCCTGGGCTCAAGAGATCGTCCTGGCTCAGCTTCTTAGTAGCTGAGACTACAGTCATAAATCATGGCATTTGGCGAATGGATCATTTGTTTCAAAACTGAATACTTCCTATAAACCTTATTGTCTATCATTAAGCCACTGCACACTGTTTTAACTACTGTAGCTTCTCCAGTCTTGAAATCTGATAAAGACCCTCACCTGCTTAAAAAAAAACCAACAAAATCTGAATACTTAATCAAAAGAAATATCCACTTTAAACAATTATCTGAAATACTTTGTCCTCCGACACCACCCCCACCCCACCCCCCCGCCATCCTGGTTAATGCCTGTCACGTTATTCTCCTAGCTAGAGAATAAGAGAAAAACAGAAGAGACCTTTCTGGGACTCATGCTTCTCTGTTTTGCCTTGATACTCAAAGCCAACAGCACTTTTATCCACTTTGTCCTTGTCAATACCGTATTTGCCACCAAAGCCTTTGGAGTAATCTACAAAGAAGAAAAGACTGTTTAAAAATGAGCAAACACATTCAGTTAGTCTTAGTAGCCATTAAGAAAGTACTGTTACTACTCAATTTCCCCCTTGGGTTTCTGAGACAAGGTCTTGATGCACAGTCCAGGCGGCCTCAAAATCATGATCCTCCTGCCTCACCCTCCCAGGAGCTGGAATTATAGCTTATCCCTCAAAGAGAAAGAAAGAGAGAGAGAGAGACAGAGACAGAGACACAGACAGAGACAGAGACAGACAGGAGGGCAGGATAGCAGGGAAGAGGAGGGGAGTGAGAGAGACAGGGAAAGAGAGACAAGAGGAAAGAGGATAAACAGATGGACTCTTTCAAGATTGCTGGAAGATCAGAGAAACGTGGACAGTATCTGTGTGTTGTAATATAAACATACAGATAGTAAAGCGCCCAAATGTTGTGGTTTGGACCTGGAATGTCCCCCAAAGGTACACTTGCTTGTTCCCTGCTGCTGGCATCATGGAAGTGGTGGAAACTGGGAGGCGTGGCCTAGGGGAGAGACAGGGCACTCTGGGGCTCTGGAAGGATATAGTACTTTATTCCCACCCCTCCTTCCAGTTCCATACAAGAGGAGCAGCTCTGCTCTGTCGTGTGGCTCACTGCGGCCCAGAAACAAAATAGTCTGTGTGACCACAAGCTGAGACTGTAAACCAAAGTAACCCTTTCCTCCCATGAGGTGTCCATCGCAGGCATTGTATGACAAGGATGAAAAGCTGATAGACAGCAGATTAATAATCACTCAATAATCCCTACAATGTATCATCTCTCAATCATTCCAGGAAGCAATGACAAGGCTGGAGGCTGAGATGCCTACAGCAGCAAGCATCAAAATCTCTAAAGCAAGCAGAGACACACCAGGGAAGGCTTTCTAAGAAAAAGAACACATAAGGAACATCTTCCAGAAACACCAGTTCTGTTCTGATTCAAGTCATATTTAATTCTTACTCAAGTCACTTTAATTCTGAAGAATGACTCTCACGGACTTGGTTACAGCATAGAGCACGGAGCTCAAGTCCTGTGAGGAAAGGCCCAGGGCATCAGAGACAAATGACACTTCTTTTTGCTCCGAGCCAGTGCATCATGAGACTGAAGGCCAGGCCCCAGGGAACACTGTACACACACTGGCCTGGGCACGAAGCTGCACACTCTGCTGAGAGGAGCCTGAGGCCAGCAGCAGGCCAGTAGCAGGCCAGTCCCTGGCAAACCACAGGCTGAGTGTCCCCACAGGCCTGCAGGCGCTGTGCATGGGAAAATACCAAGTCAGCATGCCTTGAACTTCCAGTGGTGTGGTCTGTTTTCTTTGGGATTTGAAAGAAATCAGTCCTCAGTGTTCAAATATTGGCAGTCATAAAAAAACAAGAAAAAATGCCAAGGGTTTAGCTCAGCAGCACAAGTGCCAGCCTGGCAAGTAAAAGGTCATGAGTTCAATCCCTGGTACAAAAAAAAAAAAAAAAAAGCTGAAAAGTGCACGTCAGACAAAACAAACAGTGTGGGGATGGAGAAGCCACGACCCCAGGCAGGCGGGGGACTTAGATGACCTGCAACCTCAGTAATAGAGTGGTTTTTGAGTGGGGTTTACTAGGTAGGTCACCACAGGAAGTAGAGGCAGTACAACCTCTAACATCACCCTGGCAGTATTTTATCAGAATTTTAGGGTTTTTCAGAGGGTTAAACATCAAACCCAGAGCCTTGCACACACTATAGGCACACTCTCTACCACTGACCCACGTCTCCAGCTCCTATCAAGATTTTAACAGCCTTTGACATTCTTGTTTTGCTTGTCTGAAACTAGCCCCTTTGAATAATCACTCGTGAGTAAAATACAGGTAAAAATTTTTCACTGCAGTCAACTTTAACATCAAAAAACTGCAAATAACCTGAATTTCAAGTTCAAAGGAAGAATGGTTAAACAGACAATGGAATCTTCATAGGCTGAGGGACTGAGCAGCCACTAAAAACATGAAATGTCCACAACTACTCACATTAAAAAAAAAATCAAAACATTTAATAATGTTTAAAAACCGCATGTATAAGGTAACCCCATTTATATAGGGAAGAACATCCCCTCAAGTGCTTTTTTACTCATAAATGCACGAGGAAGGTAAGAGAGAAGCCGCTCACCTTTCTGTGACTCATGCTTCTCCGTCTTGCCCTGGTAGTCAAAGCCAACAGCACTCTTGTCCACCCGGTCAGCCTGCACGCCATACTTGCCACCAAAGCCACTGGAGTAGTCTAGGAAGAACAGTCAGCATAAACACGATGACAAGCCACAGTGCCACTCTTGCTAAACTAGGCAAAACGGAAATGCCCAGGGATAACAGCAACCAAGAAACAAGAGCATGCATCTTACAATGGACAAAAGAGCTGGACAGACAGCTCAGCGCACAAGTACCTGCCTGGCAAGCATAAGGGCATGAGTTGGAAACACAGTACCAAAAAAAAAAAAAACCAGACAAGCCACCCACAGGAGATGCTGAGCATGTTTACAGCCCACACACAGAAGGGTATGCATCCTTTTCCACTGCTCCAGGGAGGTCTGTTTCCACTGTTAGAAATAAAGCTATATGCCCACTTTAAAAACTGGTTAAGTAAAGGTCGGGGCATAAAGAAAGCTATGCAGCTGAAAACCTTACAGATGAGACCCTAATGTTCCATATGCCCACACCTCAGTTAACTATCCCTGCCACTGCTCATGAACACGTTCATTGCTAATTACAAGGTAATACATAGAAGGCAGAATTAAATAAGCCTGCAGAAAACACAGGCAGCATTCTAAGGAAGCAGTATACTTCTGAACTGAAAATATGGCTTCAGAGACTGGTGACATCATAAATATGAATCATTACCATTCTCACCCCTATACATATAAAATGAAAATCAGAATTTAGCAACTCTATTTTCTGTCCTTAGGAGGGAATGTTAGTTTTCTGCCAACAAAGTCAGAGAGCAGCATCACTCAGAAAAGGCCTGGCTTCTGCTACCAGCCAGGAAGCACTACCACGACACCAGATGGCAGAGCTTTATGTGTGTTGCCCAACAGTACATCCAGGTGATTCAGGAACTCAGAGCACAACTGTCCATAGGTAACAGCCCTCATACCCCGGAAGTGGGCTTCAGGCACCCAGGCACTCCCTTCAAAGCTGGGCTACAAGGCTGCTCCTGGTCCCGTCCACACATTCTACAGCTCACCTTTCTGGGAGGCGTGCTTCTCTGTCTTCCCCTGGTACTCAAAGCCTACTGCAGACTGCAATTACAGAAAATAAAACAAATGCACTTTTAAATGTCGCTAAAACAGTCACTCTGAGTTCACAAATATATAAAACTTCTAAAACCACAAATCCTGTTATATTTGGACTATTTTCCTAAATCAAACACAGGTTAAATTCACCCCAAAAGCTCTGCTGCTGTGAATTTACATGCTATACAATGTCCCACAGTCACACGTGGTGGCACATTCCTATAATCTGACCAATCTGGGAGGGTGGATAGGGCACACTGAAGCAGGAGGATGAACAGTTTGCAGCCACCTGGAAAACCTGGTGCAACTTTGTCTCAAAATAAAAAAGGGCTGCCTTGACCTATGCTCACCCAGTAAGGGACCCCGCCTCTTGTTCCCAGTGTTCCTATATTATGATATGTTACTTGCTTTGTATCTCCCACTTCTAAATTCTATATAAAGGAAGTTCTCTGAAAACTCAGGGCTGTTGAATTATCCTGCAACAGCCTGACGGCATGAAGATTCAACAGTCTGCGTACATAAAGGTAAAAGGCTGCCTTCTTAAAGAATAAATGAATGAATGAATGAATGAATGAATACATTTGGGATGGGAGTACAGCTCTGTAGGAGAGTGCTTCTCTAAGAGTGTGCAAGGTTGTGAGTTCAATCTGGAGTACTGCTGGAAAAAAAACACTTTCACAGTCTGGCGGGCACCACAGTCAAGCACACCCAGGGCAACATGGCTTCCTCCCCAGAAGGCTGCTGCACATTAGGCTCAGCTAATGTATTGTAGCCAAATAATCCCCATCTGGAACAATTCTCTGTGCCACACAGAAACGCATTCTTCAAATAAGCTATCTGAAGAACAAAATAATACTAATAACAACAACAGCAGCAGGAGGCAGGCAACATGGTGGGCATGTGGGCATACTATGTGCTGTGCTTCCCACAGAGCCCCATGAGCTAAGGATTATGATGACTCCCATCTCACTTGGAATAAAAATTCCAAGACAGCTAGGATTCAAAAAGTCAGAACAGAGACTGAGGCCTGTCCAAATCCAGGCCACTGCCTGCCAGGAAACAAAATGAAGGAAGGGGCTAATGGCCCTGATCCAAAGGGAATCAGAACAGGCTCAAGCCTGAACCTGCCAGAACATCTGGACCCAGCCTGCAGCCCTGAAAACGAGGGCTCCACAGGAAGAACTCTGAGCTGCACTTGCCACAGTGACATTTATGAAGGGAAATGGCTGGGAGGGGTCCCCATTGGCACATTCTTAGACAATATATCTAAGGGTGTCCTATGCCCAGGGCACTGAAACTAGGACCCCAGTCCATCTGGTAAGTAGACAGCAACACAGGGATCCCTAAGCCCATCTGAGAAAGGCATTTCATTACATGCTACTATCCACATTCCTCACCCAGATGGCTCAGCTTCTCAGAGTACCCCAGGGGAAGAGGCCTGCCGGCTCCTCTCCAGAAATCCCTCCCAGCACACTGCTACAAGTGATCCAAAGGACACACACGGCACCAGCACAATCTGGGGTGGAAAGCACTGTGCTCAGCAGAACTCGGGGTCACTTATTGTGCCCATCACTCACCTGGTCAACTCTGTCCATCTGGACACCAAACTTGCCTCCAAAACCCCGGACCGAGTCGACTTGAGAGCAGTGCTTAGCAAGTTTCGACTGATACTCATGGCCAACAGCTGACTGGAAGAGAGTACAAAAATAAAATATCACAGACACACGCCTAGCGCAACATTAACAACCCAGGTGCAGGCATTTCCTCCACGCAACCACGGTGGGAATCCTAGAAGGCAATGCAGTCTGAGCCATCAAGTCCCTGGTACAGGGCTCCTCCAATGCAGCTGCAGGGCTCCCACACCACAAACCCTCAAACAGAGTGGAGCTTCAGATGCAACACGGCATGGAAAAAAAAGATGCTGGCAGCTGACAACACAATTCCGAAGAGCTGTTTACATGGACATTGCTGGCAACACATTTACTCTCTTGAAAAAAGGCTTTTTCATACTATAAGAACTACAAATCAGGACAAAAAATATTTATTTTGTCAATACACTAAAGCATAGAAAGGTCTATTTTAGTAATAACGCAGACTCGGAATCAACACTGAAGTATGCATACTATGTAGACAGGGTACCAGCTGTTGTCACCCAAACTGGCTCACTCCAGGGTTGCAGTCACCAACACTGTCAGCCCCCATCATACTGGGAGCACAAGTTCAGGAATCCTCTGTATGTCACCTGTCCACCAGGTAGTAAAGTAAGGAAGCAGAGTCTGGGGTCTTGGCATGCTTCACCTTGAGGTCTGCAAACCCCAGCCTCAAGAGCAGCCCTCTCCAGCAATGACATTCTTGGGAACCCAGCTGTGTCTCTTCACCAGCACAGTGTCTCTGGTTGTATCTATGATTCTTCCACCCAGTGCAGCCACCTTGACAGATCCTGTGACCACAATGCTGTCTTGGGCCCAATGGTTCCCCATGTTGAACACAGTTAAGACCCAGGCTTCCAGAGCTAATCCCACAGTGCATAGTCCCCCAGAACCCTCCAAGGGTGCTAAGCACAGGCAACACAGTGACAGGTATGGGAAGGACACACACATTCAAACACATGTGCCCACTCCCCATTGGTACACATCCTGACCTTAGCCACCTATGCCAGATTACCTGGTAGATGCTGGGTCTGGCCACTTGGGCAGCATTCAACACATCAGTGAGGCTCGGCACGTGGCCGATCTTAAGTTATTTTTCTTGTTGTTGAGATAAAATATCGCACACCCAAGTTAAAGGAAGAAAGCTCACAGATTGTACAGGTTTCAGTCCATAGCTGATTCCGAGACAGGGTTGCACATGGCACAGGGGCAACAGTTCAGAGCAGCAGAAGATAGCTAAATCAAGCAAGCAGCCTTAATAGCATCTTTCTGACCCTTTTATACTCTAGGCTGCTAGGATCAGGACGCTGTCAAACCAACCAGTATCACACAGCCTTAATCCCAGCATCACACACTCTAGATTCAGTCACTTCCAAAACAAACCCTATGATTGCATGAGGCTCTGGGGGGACATCCCGACATAAACCGTAACACACCCCATGCATGGCCTCTAGGATCTCAACCAGAAAATGTCAGTGAGGGAGTGGTGAGAGGCCACTGTGACAAAGGGATTCTCCAACACGACTTTAAGTCAGAAAGTTACATGAAAATGACTCTAAAAATACAGCCAGGAAAACTGCATTTGGCAACAGCAAAGCTTTCTGACTGAAACAGACATGCTCCTAAAGCATCTTTAATCTTCTACTGGCAGAATCACACTTGCTATTACACAGCTGTGCAAGTGGAGCTCCATCCTGAAGGCAGAGGTATAGAAAGCAACAAAAACCAGAGAAACAGGAAGCCAGAAGAAGCTGGCTATGTGCTCAGAAAATGGCAAAACCAAAGGCCTGACAGCTCCTGTGCTTGCTCAAAATATGATTCTGACAGTGTCTGTAACAAGTTCCTCAATTCTTTCCACAAGGAAGGACCTCACTACTATTTATCCAGGTTCTAGACAGGACAAGTTACAAAGAGTTTAAGCACTTATTCCCAGGTTAACTGTAAGTTCTTTCTGAAAACAGGCTGGTCTCATGGTGCTCATGTGAGCTGAAAGCTGACTATTCTTAGATATGTAGGCCCAGAAAACAACAGCACTAAGAAGCAGCAGAAGCAACGCCCCTCTCCAGGTCCATTGCTGCAGGATTATTATCAGCCCCACTCAGAAGTGAGTGAGTGATTCTTTGAACCAGAAGGACCTGCGTGTGCGTGTGTCAGCCACAAAGCGTGATTCTGCACACTCACCACAAGTCCCTGAGCACCCTGCACAACACCAAGCCACCCACAGGTGAGAATGATGAGTGCTGGCCCTGAGAAGCCAGGCCAGAGAAGAGTCTCACTGCAAACCACAGAACAATGTGGCAGCAACAGCTGACGGGGATGCCAAGGCCAGCATGAAGGAGGAGCCACAGGGTGGGAAAGTGAGGCAGAAGGAAGAGACGGGCTCTTTAGGGAAGCTTCTGGGCTAGAAAAAGCCCAAGCTGGAGGTTCAAGGATGAGCAGGACTCAGGCCAACAACAGACACAGACCAAGAAATAGCAGGGAAATCATTTTAAATCAGACTCGTGCTGGATAAACTGGGATCATTTTCCCTAACCCTAACTGGGGGCCCAATTTCCAGAGTCAGCCTCTCTTTGCACTAACACCCCATGACCCCCAGTGAGCACAAGCCTAGCCACCTACTGGATGGAAGGTTCTGTCTGCCACTTTGCTCTGCTGCTCTGAAAGGCTACCTACCAGACTCGGATCCAGAGCCCCAGGAGATTCTTTTGCACACACTACCTATTTCAGCATTAGGACATCTCTGTGGGAGAAGCACAAGTGACACAGCAAATGTCCATGTCTCTTTCCTGCAGATGGCACTTAGCCTCCAGCTTCCTGTTATTTCTGGATGTGGTTAGGGAGCTCCCAGCCCACCCCCATAGCCCAGTCTGATCTGCTGGTGGAGTGATATCTGGTTCACTCTGACACAGCTTTGACATTCCATGCCCAGCTCAAACGTTTAATTCGATCCATGCAACAGGAGGAGAGGTATGGAATTACCCACCAGAATCTAACACCAGCTGATCCTTTCACCTCTGTCCACAGCTCAGGCAACACACCTGTCTGGTCTGAACAATACCATGTTGCTCAGACATGAAAATTCACTGATGAAAAGGTGTCTGCAAAGTCAGCCCTGCTTTAGGGCAGACATGCAAACAGACAGACATGCTGCTATCTGCACTGTTTTTTCTCCAGGGAGAAACCAGCAAGCCGTCTCGAGCCAACACTCGCCTGCTCTTACTTGGAACAACGCGCAGTGCCATAAAGGTGGCTGTGCTCATCAGCAGCTGCCATGAGCATCTGCTCAATGTCTGCAGGCTGGTCCCATCACCGACTGCTCACAGGAGCCACCTGGTTGGTGCAGAGGTCAGTAAAGCCACATGGGACGTCAGCTACATGCTAGCACAATTTCCAGGAATGATGTGATGAGGGGCCCACAGGTATGGTTTACTCTATGAAATGGTACAACTTGGGCCATAAGCCGGAACCACAGGCACTGCTAACTAGGACATCTGAAGCTCAGTTGTTTCTACACTTTGTCCCATTTACAAAGTGGAGCTAATACCGTCAGGGTCTCTCTACACATCTGCCATTTGCCAGCACCTCTCCAAACTTCAAAAACACCTCTAAAAACCCAGAGAGCTTTGTGAGTGGGTTCAGTTGACAAGAGGCCACTGTGAGCAGATCTCATCCCGACACACCAACTTGACACATACAATCTAAGGAAGAAACGTGAGGACTACTTGGCCTACCACAAGTAGCCCACACAGCCAGGTGCCCAGCACAAACAGCTGTCGCCGACTTACTTTATCCATCCTGTCTTGTTCCACGCCGAATTTCCCTCCATAGCCATGGGAGGCTTTTGGTCCTGTTTCAAGTTCCTTCTCCTTGAGAGTCTGATGTTCTTGAAAGACGTTCTCTCTTAGCTTGTGTATGCTTTAGAAGAAAGGTAAGAGCAGAAAGAAAAAACTCAAAAAAGGATGTACATATTGTTTTGCAATGGGATAAATAAAGACAGGCAACATCACCCTGGCAAACTTGAAAGCTTTCCTTTGTTTGGCGCTTACCAACTGTCTACTTTCTATATACGTTCCTGACTATCCTGACAGCTGGGGCATCCACTTCAGCGGTTCTTGGGCAGAAATGGATGGGAGGAGGAACACTGCACCAAATGCACACTGTGGCCCAACTCCACCCCAAAGGTACCCAACTAAACCTTGAACTCTATTTCATCTGGAGAAAGGCCGCTAATTTTAGTAGACAAATGGGTTAGGAGCACACGTCCTGCAAACACCATCAGGAGGCAGAAGGGGGAATAAAGTCAAGGTCCCTTCCTCCAGATCCCCAAGGCCACCAAGGATACCTAGTACTGACAGTCTGTCTTTACTTGAGGTACTCAAGCATTGTATACCTGTCAAGGCAGACATTCAGAATTTATCACCTAAGAGCCACTTTTCATTTTAAATATAGAAAGGCAGGAAGCACATCACAACATTTAGTCAAAATCTGGCAAGCCAGGAAGGAGCTGTCACCATGAGAACCCAGAACAGCACAACAGCCACCTGGGCATGCAGCCCTTCTGCCCGGAAGACGCAAGGCCCACACCATCAACACAAAGACAATCATCACAAGAATGTGACTAAAATACATACCAGGCCTGGAAACTACCTGACCCTCCATGAGCAAGAGAAGAAGAGTCCTTCCAGAACCTTGGGAAGAGCCGCAGGGTGCTAAGAACGATCCCATCCCCACACTTTCCTCATGGGACCTTAACTCATCAAGATGCTAGCGTCCCAGACAGTCCATACTCCCTGCCCAACAGGCTGAGGCCACCAAGAACAGAAGAAGTCCACATAACCTAACCAACTTGGGATTCTGGTAACCCCGTGGCAAACAGCCCGGGGCAAGTGTTCCTGCCAGCACCATTTCATTCCCTCTCCTAGGCTTCTGATTTCTCAACTCAGTTCTGTGGGAGGCATGGGATGAGCAAGCCTAGGAGGGACCAACACTCGAGACTAAAGAGCTCCCGTGCGGTAAGATCACTTGAGCCCCTTAGCAACATGGTAAGACTTTGTTTCATTAAAAAAAAATACAAAAAATTAAAGGTCGTATTTTAAAATGTCACCATGTAGACTCTGTTGTTCCAGGGGATTTACTCAATCCTCCTCTAACAGATACTGTGTCCAAGCAAGACAGGAACTTTCCCCATGTTTCAAAGCAGGTCACCAGGTCAGCAGTGCTGCCTTTACAATACAGGACAGGGACAACCAATCCTGACCAGGGTGGCCTAAAACCAACCTCTGAGCATGGTTTTAAAGGCCCTTTTATCAATGCTTCCTGAGTGAAAACAAGCTGCCCAGAGCTGGCATTTCAGATAGTGCCGGATCAGAAACGATGATACAGCTCACTGTATCCTATTCTAGGTTTTTCTCAAAGCCTGGAATTCAGTTCATATACCCCAGCGACTAAATCCTGCAAAGCACCATAATTTTCAGACAGTAATAAAAGGGAGGAAAAAATAGTAATAATAATGATCAAAGGAAGGTGTTTAAGATCTAAAGTATCCAATGACATCTCACAGTTGAGAAGCCTCCTATTTAGAGAAAGAACTTAGGCAACTGTGGGCCCTGATAAAAATCATCAGATGCAGAAGCGGGAGTCCCAGAACTGTGAGGAAACTGTCTGCCATGGAGATTTTAACTTGGTGGCCAATTACACGTGTAAGCACATATACATAAAAGCATGCATTAAACCTAGGTGCCATGTCTTACATTCATTCATCTGCTGATTGAACATCAGGTCAATACCATAAGCAAAAGCAACTCTGACGCCTGACTGCCCCCCTTAGCTGTCAGCAGTAGATGTCCCTGCTGGGGCCTGTTCCCCTCCTGCAGAGGACCCACTGGTTGAGTGTGCGGAGGGGCCCCCATTCCCGACAGCATTGCAGAGGCTCTTACTTGATGTGTTCCTGGTGCCCAGACCCTTTTACGGTTTTGGCGCCCCATCTCTGTTCCTTTTCACTCACATCATTCTGGAAAGAAAAACAACAAGTAAACCCCACACCCACGACAGTGAACACAAACACAGGAAAATCACTTTCAAAGAAACGCAAAGCACAGGCAGGCTGGTGACTCCTACCACAAAATCAGGGTCGGTCTCCCAGTCATCAGCTCCTCCGACGTCCTGGGTGATGGACACAGCATGGCCTGCTGATGCTTTCCACATCTGCAAGAGCAGCACCAAGGTTACAGAGTAAGCACAGCCACCTTCAGGCCCAGGTTACCACGATGCCATTGCAACACATGGAAAGCAAAAACCAAATGACCAAACGCCCTCCTATCACCACTAAACCTAAACGACAGCTGCAGGGATAAAAACAACTGAGAAATAAGAGCTCAGCTTGTTGTAAATCTTTTAAAAACATCACCCTTTGATTTCAAGTACTTTAATGATTTAATAAATGTTTCAAATCATTTAGTAGAGGGTTGCCTTGTCATGTTTTGGGGCAAATGCACAGCATAGAAAATGCAACTCCTCCTATGTTAGGAGGCTTAGAAAGCAGTCACCTTTATCCATAGCACTTTAAGTTGGTTCTGTAAGGTTTGGTGTTATAGAGAACAATGACACATCTGCAGACACCAATAAGATGTTGTCTGTAACTTCAAACGTTTAAGGGCTTTTAAACAATTGTTAAGAATGGATGCATTTTCCAGAGAGAATGAAAATAATCATAAAATTTCACTGAGGTTATAAAGTAACTGAGAGATGTACCAATTAAAACAATTTTTAATTCGACCAACCAAAGCTGTGCCCTGGTCTGAACTTCCAACCCTCCCTCCTCCAGCTCTACACCAGTTCTTGCAGCTTGTGTTTCCTGGACAAAAGCCCTTCCCAGCCTAAGAACGTCCTTCTGAGCTTCCATTCCAGCTCTCCTAGGTCTAAAGGTCACATCTCAGATGGCAGTGAGAGGGATGATGGTGCACTGCTCTCCATGTGACTCTACATGTGACTCCGGCTTCCTGCTTTAGGCAAAGATCCATCTGCCACCAGGTGGGCAGGACCTATACAATGGTCCTCAAACAAGAACCACCTTGAACTTCCTCTAGATGCTGAAGCATGACAAGAACTTCCCAGATGTTAAAATCAAAATGGATCAAAGATCTCAATATTAAAACAGAAACACTAAATCTGCTGGAAGAAAGAACAGGTAGAACTCTTGAAGACACAAGTGTAGGCAAAAACCTTGTCAACAAAACCTACTACTCTGCATGGAGGCACATGCCTGTAATCCCAGCACTGGGGAAGCTGAGGAAGGAGGATCACCACGAGTTCGGGGACAGCCTGGCCTACATAATGAGTTCAAGGCCAGTGGGAACTACATAGTAAGGCCCTGACTCAAAAAAAAAAAAAAAAAAACCCAAACGTAAGAACATGGAAAATATTATAAAGATTCAACAACTGGGATCTCATCTTACTAAAAAGCGTTTGCACACCAAAAGAAATGATCAACAGAATAGACAACTCACAGAGTGAGGAAAAAAAATTATAGCCAATTGTTTCTTATCAAAGGACTAATAGATAAGGAGGGGTATAGGAAGGGAGGCGAATGTGGAAAAAAATGAATCAAGGTATGCTATGTTCAGGTACAAATTCCCTATGATGAACAAAATCATCATGTGTATCTAAACTGTACCAATAAACTTAATTAAAAAAAAAACATAAATGAAGCCATTGTATTGAGCCCCACCAGCCCCCTAAAAAAGAATTTCCCAGCTATGATTTGCCTTGGGCAGATTTTAAAGAGCAGATAAACAAGCCTTAGCACTTAGGCATGACCAGACAGTCTGGTCCCAATCATCCATTCACAGATGAAAAGTTACACTGTGCGCATGGCCGCTTCCTGCCCTAAGCAACACACTGTCCTCCACAGGGCAGCTGCCTAGAGGCAGAAATCCAGGGACCACAGGTTTAGTCACTGGAAAGGACAAGAGCCACTGTGGGGCCAGCGAAACTGCCGTTCACCCCCAAGTCAAAGATGAAATAGCTGCCTGCCTCTTTCAGTTTCATCAGGGTAAAGGGTAGCGCCTATCGGATCATCTTTCTGCAGACCAGCATCACAAGCTGGGAGGGGAGACCTTCCACCCGCTTTATACTATCAGGCCTAGTGGTTCCTGCCACACACAGAACACAAAGGAAAGAGGTGAAGGGCTCCCCTGAGAAAGGCCTCCTAACTCTAGTTCCCGCGCTTTCTGCAATTTCCTTTTCTAAGACAGATGCAACACTAAAACTTTGACTTTAGTGTGTTTGTTTGTTTGGTTGGTTGTTTTGAGACAGGGTCTTGCTATTTATTCCAGGCTGGCCTTGAACTCACGGTGAGCCCCAGCCTCTATAATGCTCAGATTACAGACATGTGCCACCAGGACCAACTTGGCTTCAGTTTTTAATTGAACTTTTTTTTAGTTCTCGGCCTAAAACCCAGGACCTTGTACTTGCTAGGGAAACACTCGACCACTGAGTTACATTCCTAGTCCCTGACTTTTGATTTTCAACAATGAAATTTCTTCTAGAAAACTGTCGGTGCTTCTCCTTCCAACTCCCCACTCCTTTTCAGTAAAGTGGTTTTTATCATCCTTACCATCCCGGGAAAGAACGTTATGAAGTTCACAGTATACAACCCTTTCTTCCCAAGTGATAAACCACTGCTTTCGAAACTCTGCTTAAAACACAATAATCCAACACGGAGTGTCCAGACATTTGGAATGCTTCTGTCTATAAAAAGATTAAGGGTGAAAACAGAGGTCTGCTGCCAAGCCCTCTGGGCAAACCTATCTTTCCAGAGCTTTGTACAGTACCTCATGAATCCTCCCCAGCATAAAAAGGTTTTAGGAAGATCTTCATCTTACTAATTAAAAAGCTCAACACAGGAACTTAATAAAGATGGGGGGGTACATAAAAAGAATTTAGATGTTACCCACATGCACCAACTGCCCACGAAGAATGTCATCACTGTGTATTGCAAATGTATACTAATAAAAATTAAAAAAATTTTAAAAGAAGTAACATGTTTCAAAAGACAACTGCACAGCATTTCTTAATGGAAACGGAAATGACTGCCTCAGTTGACTTTCCTGTCTGCTATAATCCTGGTACGTTTTCATTCTTTATTCTAATTCACAATGCTGCTAAGAACAATACAGTTCTATTATTGTTAGTTTTTACAAATTATTTAGGGGAAACATTCTCTGAATGGATCCCTGATGAGCCTGGGAGGAAAGGCCAGTGCTGTGGGTGCTGTCTGTCACGTGAGCCACCAAAGCCATGCGTGCAGAGATGGAGCCCACAGGAAGCAGGCTGCAGTCCCAGCGACCAGGCAGTTCCTGAACAGGGAACAGGACTTCAGCCCCCATGCCGACCAATCCACCAACATACAACCTAGTCCCCAAGACCACATATCACTCTAAATGGGCACCACACTGCTCCAAGGCACACAGAGAGAAAATGAAACGCCCGAGCTGAGAGCGTGGTCCTGACTGGCCTTCACTTTCCTACCTAGGTCCTGACCCAGCTGTTTGCTCTTTTGCTTTCTGCAGTCCCTGTTGATTGCCTAGTACATTCTGGCCACTGCAATTATAAGTATAGTCAGGAAACATCTTCAAAAATCTACCCAAAGAGCAAGTTAAAAAAAAAAAAGAATTAAGATGTGTTATGCACATGAACTAAGTCCGTGTGATGAATGTCATCACTGTGTACTGCAAATGTGTACTAATTAAAAAAAAAACTACCCAAGGGCAGCTAGTGATGGGATCAAACTTACACTCATTTATTATTCTATCAGCATGTTAAATTTCTTTTTTTTTGGTCTTTTTCCTTTTCATTGGTACCGGGGATCGAACTCACGACTGCCTGCTTGCAAGGCAGGCGCTTATGCCACTGAGCTAAATCCCCAGCCCCAGCATGTTAAGTTTCAACACTCACAAAAACAACTGACTAGAAAATGAACTTCTAATCCAAAGTGAAAGACTCTGGACCCCCACCTCATACCATGCACAAAAGTTAATTCAGGCCTGGGGATGTAGTTCAGTGGTGCAGCCTTTACCGAGCATGTTCAAAGCCCGGGTACAATCTCCAGCACAAATAAATAAATAAGTAAACAAATGCATGCCTTAAATCGGTTTAACTTTTTGGTTTTTTTTTTCCCCCCAGTACCGGGGATCCAACTCACAATCGTCTGCTTGTAAGGCAGGTGCCTATGCTGCTGAGCTAAATCCCCAGCCCCTAGTTGGTTTAACTTTTAAGACCATAAATTTGGCAATGGTTTCTTAGATGTAAAACCAAAACTATAAAGAAAAACAACAGACTGCACAAAATTTAAAACTCTGGGCTTAAGACATAAGAAAGTGAAAAGATGATTCACTGAGAGAAATCTATTTTCAAACTATGTATCTAGAATAAATATAGCATGTGATACAGTTACCAAGTGGAATAGTATTCATCCATAAAAAGGAATAAAGATATAATACATGCTACAATGTGAATGAAGCCAGACACAAAAGACCATATATAGTACTATGATTCCATTTATATGAAACATCTAGAGTTGGCAAACCTACAGAGACAAAAAGTACCATAATGGTTGCCCTGGGCTAGAGGAAAGGGAGACTGGGAAATGATGGCTGGGGTACAGGGTTTCTTTTGAAAAACACAAAGAGAGGCTCTGGCTATGTTGCACAGGTTGGCCTCCAACTGCTGGGCTCAAGCAGTCCTGCATCCTCCTGAGCAGCTGGGACAACAGGAGCGGCCAGTCTAGGATTGCTGAGTTAATGACACAGTTCCAAAGTGCGTAGCAATGAGGGCCACACAACTCTGGGAATAGAATGAAAACCACTGACTTATATACTTTGAATGGGTTAGGGTATGGCATGCAAATTATATTTCAATAAAACTGTTACAAAAAATTACTGTTCAAAGATAAGACTGTCACCAAACACCATTAATACAAACTTCTCTTGCAAAAAAAAAAAGTGCCACACACACACACACACACACACACAAACACACACACATACACGAAGAGTGTGGAGAGATGAAGTAATCCTGCCTTGTATAAACAGGGTGAAAAACTCTGCTAGGGAAGAATGCTGTAAGAGATGGGGTAAAAGCACCCATCCAGACAGAGTCGGCTTTCCCTGAACTTCACTGCAGACAGCTCCGAAAAAGCCAAAGGGAGCACAAAGGAATCTGTGCAGCCACAGTAGATGTCACAAGGCCCAGTCTTACTCAGAGGAAGTCTCTTACCCCAGAGCACATCCTTTGGGTTCATAGGAGCCATGCCTAAGCGGAGAGCAGCGGCTTTGCTTGGCACAGACACCAGTGAAAGACAAGCTGATGGGCATTCGGTCTGCTGCTATCAGTTGCCCAGGTCAAGGAACAGTGCGACTCAGGCACTAAAGGCACCGGTGAGGAAGCACACATTCAACCACATGCCAGAGCACCTACTGCATTCGGTAGGTCAAATGTCTGAATCACCAGTCTGTTTACTCTAAATTTAAAATGCTTTAAAAACAGATTCCATTAAAAGTCAGCTTTCAACAGTCATAGTGGCACATGCCTGTAGGCCTGCTACTCAGGGGGGAGGCTGAAGCAGGAGGATTTCAAATTCAAGGCCAGCCTGCACAACTTATACCAAGACCTTGTCTCAAAAAAAAATTTTCAACGCTAGGGAGGTTGTAGAGCACTTGCCTAGCATGCTCAAGGCCCCAGGCTTAAACTCCAGCACTGAAGGAAAAAAAGGATGTCATCTTTAGACAGGATAAACTTACAGTTACAGGAGACCTGATATGAAAAACAGCTCTGTATCCCCCAACTCTTTACTCCTGCATACCTCAAAGTCCCTAAAACCTAACGCTTCTTCCTTGTTTCTTCAACTTCTTCTGACATATACTTTTCCCCACTCAGAGGGAGAAGGAGCACTGACTCAAGGCCTTGGAGTGGGTGACTCACTGTAGTTCAGAAATGGACTAGTCAGCCCTCCCTCTCCAAAGCCTAGCCTAGCCTGGCAAGGCCAGCTGGACAGAACTGCTATCTGCATCCGCGGACAGGGTCTCCTGGGTCACACAACTGACAGAACACCCAGCCAAATCAAAACTGAGCATATCCTGCAGGCACCTCAGGTGCACGGCCAAAAACTAAAATTCTCCAAGTGGCCCCTACAGGACCCCTCCGACCCAAACCCTCCAGCTGGGCGGCTAAGGTCGCTCTGGTGCCAGACCTGTCCCATCCACGGAAACACAGAAACGAAACACGGCCAAGCACCTTTCTGGTGCCTTGGCACACACCCAGGAGGCAGGGCCTGTTCCAGATTCCCAGCTACCCTGCGCTTCAGCATTTCCACTGACCCCATTTGCAAACCTCCCTCAGGTGCACAAACTCCCGCCCAAGGCCCGGCCGCCACACACACACACACACACACACAGCCCTCCGACCTCCACCCCTTCCCAGGACCCCACCTCTTCCCCAGCCCTTCTAACCCCCGCCTCTCCACTCGGACCCCATCCACCTACGCCACCCTCTGGGATCCCGAACACCTACGGGGCAGGGTCCCTCCCTACGGGGCAGGCTCCCTCCCTAAGGGGCAGGCTCCCTCCCTAAGGGGCAGGGGGCAGGGGGCAGGGTCCCTCCCCGGGGTTCTGGACCCCTGCCCCGCGAGCCCCTCCCCCTCAGACCTACACCTCCTAGTTCCCGGGAGCCCCAGCACCTCGGTCTCCAGGCCCCTGCGCCCCAGAGCCCTGACCCACGCCCCGCGAGCTCCTCCTCCGCCCAGGTACCATTCCAGACCCGCTGCACCAGTGCCTGGGATCCCGACCACCTCACTCCCTGGCCCCCTCCCCTGGGAACCCTGAGCCCCTCCCCCACCCCGCTGGACCCCTCGGACGCCGCTGCAGGCCAGGATAGCCTCGCCTGCTCTGCCCCCACCAGCTCAAACCGCAAGCGGAAGTGCGGTGAGACGGGCGCTTCCTTCCCGTTCCGGGGCTGCTTCCACCGCCCGCTGCGGCTGCCCGTCCCAGCCGCGAGAGCCGCGCCCGCTCACCGCCACGGTATCCCTGCAGGTCCGCCACAGTCCCGCCTCACCCGCAGTTCTCACAGAGCCCGCTCATTTCCGGTTCGCCGGGGGCGGAGCCGCATCCGGGTCTGCGCAAGGTCCCGCCCTCGCCCCGCCTTGACCCCGCCCCCTCTCCACTCCAGGGATGGGGCTGCTGGGAAGGCGCAGGCACTGGTGAGCCTCTGGAGGCTAGAGGAAGTCCCTACCTACAAAGGATATATTAAGAGAGCTGCAAAGTAGACAATCCAGCCTGGGCTTTCTGCACTCATAGTCCCGCCCTGGCGAGAAGGGAAAAATGAGCCACACAAGAGGGAGGTAGTGCCCGTCCCTTGAGCACTGAGAACTCGCACGCAGTGACTGTAACCATTCTGCAGGAGGGAACATGCCTCTACATCATCCAGTGCTCATTCATTCCTCCACTCATTCTTCCACCCATCACCCACACACACATCACTCATTCACTCGCTCCTCCGTTGTCCATCCACACATTACCCATTTCTCCATTCGTTAACCATCTCTGCACCCACCCATCCGTCAGTTATTCGTGTATCTACCCAGAGAAGGGCAGATGTGTATCAGGCGTAGTAAGATCAACACACCACACGGGACTTGCCCCCAGGAGCCTTCCAAAGGAGGAGGAAGGTCTGACTCATTAATGTACATATATAATTGGGATGAGACGAATGTTATGAAGAAAAGTAGTAAGAGTTCTACTGGTGAGAAGATAGGACCTGAATATATCTGGGTAATCAGATATGTCAGCGCAATTCATATATGAGGCAAGATCTGCAGTTCTGGAGTGAACAAGATGAGAATGGAAGAGTTTTCCAGGCAGAGAAAACAGCATGTCCAAAGGTCCTGAGACACAAAAGGCTTGCCAGAGAAGAAGTCAAGGAAGCTGGGGAAGAAGTCAAGCAGAGGAGAGACTTCATAGAGCTTTCAGTGTACCAAGATCCCTGTGGCTGCTGTGCATGAATGTATGACAAGAACGTCAGCCAGGGAGGAGCCTAATCAGCCAGTTCCCACAAACACTGTGGACAGGTGAGATGAGATGTGTTATGCATCTGTACTGACTCCCCATGACGAAGGTGCTCAATATATACTGCAAATGTGTTACTAATAAACATATCTAAAAGTTTTAAAAAGACAGGGAGGAGCACATAGGCACAAGAGGCATCAAAGAATAAAAGCATCAGGTTTGGGTTGGAGATGTATCTCAATGGCAGAGGCCTTGGCTAGTATGGTCAAGGCCCTGGGTTGTTTCCCCAGTGCTAGAAAAAATATACAGTAGGTTTGAGGATGGATTGGAGGGTGGGGTAGGGAAGGAAGTGTCAGGTGTCAAAGAAGAATTTTTTAAAAGAAAAGTTAAAATCATCAGTTTGGTATACTGTACTTAGTTCAATGAAAATTATAGAAGGTCATTTTTTTAGACTATGCTCCTGCCATGGGTCCCAAGAGACAAGGCTAGAAATCAAAGTGGAGTCACTGTCACTAAAGTTCCATGTGAATCAAGCTGAAACTGAGATGTTTAGCTAAGCTGGGTATGGTGAGTCCAGTCCCAGCACTGGGGAGGCTGAGGCAAGCAGGAGGATGAGCGGGAATCCGAGGCCAGCCTAGGCACCATGGCTGAACTTCACTCCACTGGCCAACATAACCCTTGTCCTACATTATGAAGTGTTGCCTGGTGGAGAATAACCAGGTAGCGCACACTGGCCTTAACTCACAGTGATCCTCCTACCTCAGCCTCTCGAGTGCTGAGATTACAGGCATGCATCACTCCACTCCACTGCACTTTGCTTTTGAGACAGATTTTTGTTTTGTTTTCTGTTTTGTTTTGGTTTTGGTACCAGGGATTGAACTCACAACCCCACGTTTGCCAAGCATGCATTTACACCACTGAGCTAAACCTCTGGCCCTGCACTTTGCTTTTAAAGCTGACAGTACACTGTGGGTAGACAAGGGCGTAGGCTTTCAGCTACATCCCTGCTTAGAGCTTTATAATTATTCTTTCTTCTATCCAGGGTTATCCCACGTAGGTTTGGTTTTGTTTTTTTGTTTTTGTTTTTTTTTTAGTACTAGGGATTGAACCCAGGAATTTAGCACTGGGCTTCATCCCTAGTCTTTTTTTTTTTTTTTAATTTTGAGGCTGGGTCTCACTAAGTCATTAAGTTGCTCAAGCTGAGGTGGAATTTTTGATCCTTATATCTCGGCCTCCAAGTGTGCTGTGATGATAGTTGTGTGCCAACACATCCGACTCCAATTTGTTTCTAAGTATAGATATTGCCTTTTTGCAATTTTTTTTTGTACCAGGGATGAACTCATGACCTTGTATTTGTCAGGCAGGCCACCACTGAGCTAAATCTTTGGCCCTTTGCTTTTTTGTTTTAATTTTTATTTTAAAGGGAGTAAATTAAACACAACAAAACAGAACAAAATAGGACATAAGAAAGCAATGTAAGACATATAAATTTCAAAGCTAGATGACCTGAGATCTTCACTGTCTATCATATTGTCTCTTGTTTTCTTCCAAATAGTTGTCCATGTCTTCACATACAGAGAATTCATACAAAACAACATAGTATAAAACTGATATGAGCAGAATAAAGAAGGCAATTTAGGTCTTCAAGACGGGACAACAGGGAAGTCACTAATGGCTGTTGTAGAGTCTCTTGTTCTCTTCAAAACAGCTGTCCATATGTTCATGTATATTGAAGTTCAACAAAACAAAACAGGTGGTAGGGGAGGGGTTGCTTGGTTTCCCAGCGCTCCAGCATGGCCGGGGTCCCAGTAATCTCAGGAGGCTCCCGTCCTGGGTTACTGAGCCTGGCCCTTTGCTTTTGAAATTTTATTTTGTATCTGTATGTCCCCTACGGCCATTAGCCATCCCCAGTCTCTGCTGCTCACTTCCGAGGAGCATCTGACATTTCACCACACCTTCTTGTCTGAGAGTTATGGTGAAGCCTGGTCCTCACACTGCAGCCACAGTCACAGCCACAGCCACAGTCACAGCCGCAGCCATGGCTACAGCCACAGCAATTTTACACCACAGATGCTCAGGCCACACTGCTGCATGCACTCTCCAGTAAGCGTTGGCTTGGCTTCTCTGCAAAGAGAAGCCACAGCTTCTGCATGATGGACAGAAAACAAACGTGTGGTTGGTTGCTCAGGTCAGGGAGGTAGAATGTGGGTTGACTTCTAAAACGTAAGACTTTTGGGGGGAGAATATAAATGTTCAAAATCATTATATGATGGTTGTGCAACCCTATGAATACGCTAAGAAACAAACATGCAGACTGAATTGTACATTTCAAAAATTTCCTTCGAGCAGGGCATGGCGGCACACACCTATAGTCACAGCACTTGGGAGGCCATGAGTTTGAGGCCAGCCTGGGCTACATAGTGAGTTCAATGCCAGCATGAAACTACAAAGCAAGACCTTGTATAAAACATAAATAAACAAAATTAAAAAGCTTTTTTTTTTAAAAACCAGGAATGGTGGCTCCTATCTGTGCTCTCAGGACAAAGGTGTCTGTCCTTTCCACCATCCTCTGTACCCATTGCTTGTCCTTATCTTGTTAGTATTATAGACAGGCGAAACAGGTAGAAATATAACAGTGAGACAGGAGATGAGAATGCATCAGGACAGTGGCCGGAGGCACATCTGAAGATTAAAATCACAGTGGCTAGTTTTACACAATTCCCTAAAGGATGAATGGAGATTTGGGATTGGATTATTGGTATTACCCTTTTGAGATTTCCCATTATCTCATTAGGGTGGGCCATCCTCACACTAAAACAGACTAAGACACTTAGACTAAGATTGCTGAAACTAAAGACAAGACTAAGACTATAGATTTTTGACCAAGTTTAATGATGTCACTCAAGTACTCTCATTACCACTGGATAAATATTACCTCAGCGACTATAGTTGCAATCTTATTGGCTGATCATAATTTTGACGAATGTTGTTCTTGCCTCATGATTTTGCTCTATAAAACTTCCTCTGAGAGGTGGGCTCATTGGCAACTCATTCCGGACTGCTCCTATCTCTCAGGAACTATTCCTGTGCCTGATTCCCTCACTCCTATTCCCCATTCCTTTTCTCCAATAACTTTTCCTACTCTTTACTTCCATTGTTTCTTACAATTCATTCTTCGACTTCAGGGGGCATAAGCTTGGCATATTTGACACCTAGCATTTCTCCTATATCGTGAGAACTCCGGGTTCCAGCAGCCTGGATGCTCACCGACTCTGAAAGGACAGAGGAGGATGTGGTCTGGATTTCGAAAAAGAGCCAAGTGATTGGCCTGGTCAATACAGTCAGAGGCCTCCAAAGGGTCCAGAGACAAACTCCCGGGCCTTTGACCTGCTACTTATCAAAACGTAAGTTTCTTCTGAGGCAGTCATAGCTCCAAATATGTTTTTTGCTAAAAACTGTGACTCTTCCCTTGGGCCTTCAGTTCCCCAACTGTTAACGAAAACAAAAACTTGCCTTCATTTTGTGGGTCAAAACTCTGGGTCAAAACCTTTTTAGCTCTGTCTATAGACACGTTAGTCATTTAGGGAGTGTTTGTCTAAGTTGGTAAAACAAGAGTTATTAGCCCTAAATTTATCTAGCTTATTTCATTACACTTCAAGGCAAGCAGCAGCAAGATAATAAATATGGGGACATTGAGCTACGCCCCAAATCTCCACTGACCTAAGGCTACGTTCACCTTGGATACGAAGGTGCCTTGCATGACTGAGATCCCTTCCATATGAACTGGATTCAAACCAAGCTACACAAGCAGGTGGAAGAGAACATTCAATCAGACCCCAGCTCACCTTAAGCATGAAAAGCTGGCCTCCCTCTTTGGCAGTGCCCCTCTAGCTCCCACCCAAGCTGGAATCTTTCCCTGTCTTCTCTTATCTGTCAATAAAAACATTTCTCCTGCAAATTTGTGCTCTAATGTGAATTTTGATTATCACAATAGCAAGGACCCACACTGACATGTCCCGCCTCTCCCCTACCTGGGGCTCTGTTTCCCCTCTGTTGGTTTGTGCCTGCTCTGGTCTGACTTCCTGCCTTCTTCTAGAAGCCTAGGACAAAATCACACTGGACCAGCTTG